TGGTAATAAATTCTGTTTTGCTTTTCAATGCGCCCTGCATTTGTATTAAAATAAAAGATCACGCATTCTTATTTATCATTATCAGCGCCAACTAAAAAAGATAACATATCGTAAAGATAAGCAAGTCTGGCGGTGTTAATTGCGCTACAGTGATAATACACAGAATAATATCGTTTTGACGAAACCATAATGCGCGACCGTTAAAACGACGGTGCTGCTTTTTTGTGGAAGAAATTTCGCAGGAAAAAATTTTCTCAAACGTAATGCGACCCATGTAAAGGGGAGGGGTTAACATAGGATGGGGTTGACATATTTACCCAGGTGGGGAGGAAAGCCGATTCCCTGCTATTGTTCGAATTTTTGTCTTCGTTTTTAATATTCATGTTATTCCAGACTGACAGAGTAATTTAAAATAGGGGAGACCTGGGGATTCGTATGGAGCACCTTATAAACAATGATTGTGAGAAGCCGTGGCCCGACGCGGCGGAAGCAAGGGATTTTTGCAGCGAGCGATATGCTTTCTCCATATGCAACGAGCCATTTAACTGGACGACGTAAAAATGCAGGGCACAATGGATTAATGAGCAAATATTTGGAAGTTTCCACTCATTGTATATATGCTCATTGGTTTATGTTACTAAAGTTAGACGCGCGAACTACACACGTTCGTGTTTTTATATTTTTTCAAATATTTGTTCGTGTGTGAAATATTTTCTTTATTGTAATATGTTAATATTAGTGTTGATTTTGTTTTTGTGGCAATAAATCTCTCTCTCTCTCTCTGTGTAATATATGGGTAAACTGGCACATGTGTTTCTACGTGTTTTAAACCTTATCAGGGTTTTTTCCAATTTATTGTGTGTTCATTGTATTGTTTTGCGTGTTTTTTGTTTTGTTTCGGGTAATCGAAATAAACTCATACTTATACTAATCACACAGTTGAAAAAAAATTCTTTCACAAAGGTGAAAAAGTTGTGAAGAGAGAGAATTTTTTTTTTGTCAAACCAAAAAACATAATGATGATAAGATAAATATTAAAACAATACATAATGCAGTTTTCGGTATATGACTGGGTGATAACGATACGACCATATACGGTCATTTTAGTCAGTTACCACCCAAATAAAGAAATTGAAACGGGTTCTGTTACAATATGGATTCTCAGCATAAATATAAAAAAAAAACTATATACATTATTTACAGGAATAATCTGATCAGAAACAGAATAGGGGAATTACCCAAATATATTTTCAAATTCATTGAATTTAATTTTGTAGATGGAAGTTTGGTATATGGGATGCATTAAATGGTAAATATATAAATCAAACAATACCACCAACAATAAATACAAAGAAAAAGAGGATTTAAGGTTGATACATTTTGCAAGTCTGGAGATACGCATATATAAACAATATAAAATGGATCTTACAGCAGTACTAATTATATATGAATCAAAATTACAGATGAACTATTTAATAAACTTTGACATAATACTTTAAATAAACTACACTTATCCAACATCTTTATCTTTTCGTTCAATGTGTGACGCACAAGGTTTGGTATAAAAATTGTCAACTTAATTTATCTATTTCATAATTTCACAGTGAAAGTTATATTCATCCCACATTAAACAGTACCACATGAAAATATATGTGAATGAATTATGAAGTTCATGCATGTTTGCTCAGAACAAGTACGGCAATATGGCAATTCCTTTATCACGGTGAATTGAATAATTGATTACACAGTACTACATGCGTATATATATATGAATAGATTAAAGAGTTCCATCATGTGGGCACAGGACAAGTTCGAAATGGTAATTCATTTATCACAGGGAATTAAATGATTCATTATACTATTATTACTACATGAAAATATATGTGAATAAATTATGGAGTCCAGCAAAACTAATTACTTAAGTTGGGACTCAGAAATATCGAAAGCGCTCACTTCAGGCATATTTCCTCGCCGGGCAAACTCTATTTCGCCTTCATCGCATATTCTGTAGTTGTCTACATATTCAATGTTACCCAGTTTCCAGGCAAACTAGGCGTATTGAAATCAGTGATGCATAACTAAAATTATAGTTTTCCGCCATGATGATTATGACTTCCGTTTCGACAAACAAAACGCAAAGAGGTGTGGTTGTTGAGTAAAATGTCGGCGAGGTTTCCGTAACTTTATTCTCCCCATTTTATGGTTGAAATTTCAACAAGAATGCAAACGGATAATTTTGGTCTCAGCACTGAAATGAAAATGGCTGAAAAAGAAATAGGGCGTGGCGTTTCTTTGTCTGATTGTCTTTTATCCGTGTGTCCTGATGACGATTGTGGCTTGATTCTTGTTGGCGGTCTTCAGGTCTTTGTGCTGTTTCGTGTCTGTGCAGCTAGTATTGTATTTCTTGCCATTCAGCTAACGGCAATTCTGCGATTTACTTGCCTCTGGTTACTGTTATAACAAAGCTTCAATCCTGACCATTGGTGCATTTAACTCGTCTGAACTGATAGACCAGTAGTCTGTGTATTGGCTGACTAGTTTTTGAGAACACAGTCTGCTGGTTTGAGTGTACTGTAATTTTTGTGCCCATGACCACTTTAAATATTTCAGTATTTTGAATAGTCTAAAAATTGAAGACGATAGCCCTGATTTGTGTCTTTTTGACTTCTTGAGCAGGTTGATTTGCATAAATGGTAGATAACTTATAAGAGTGGTAACAGTTGCACTAGAAATAATATACAGATATATGAATGATACAGTGATATCTGGATATAGTTTCCAGCATGCTGGCATGCGTTTCCCTCAATTTTTTTGCCTGAGAAACAAGGTAACTGTCTCTCTCTTGTCACCATCATGGACAATTATTTATGCATAAAAAAGTATTTAGTAGTTTGAATTTCATGCATGGGTGATGTTTAATTGTTATAAAATGGAACCAAAAATTAGGCATATTGGAATTTTAAACCCGAAAGTGCTATTTTTTTTGTACAACTTCGCTCTTGCAACACTAGAAAATTAAAAACAGTTCAAAAATCACCAGTTACTGAGTTATGTTTGCACTGTGATAAACTTGCCTATTGAATTATGCGTCTTGCCTGACAATAAAATCTCTTTCCTTGCTTGTAAATTTAAATTCTGAAAATGTAGAAAGACAATTTGGAAATTGAACTGTGTAGAGATTTTCAAATAAATTTAAACTTCAAAAGCTGTTAAATGTTACATGGATCTATTCATACTCTCGGATTTTGGTTTGAGCCAATGATGGATTTGATGACAATTCATTTCTTATCTCTCTGGTGTATTTCCTCAGCTTCATAAGCTGGCGACCACTTTGTTCCATGAAAAAATTGTGAAATATTACTAGAATCGTTACATTATATAAATATTTACGATCTATATTTTTCAAGATGGCTTACGTTTACTTGGTCTTGTATGAAGCCACATTTATTTACGTAGTACTGTAGTAGACTTGTAATAGCGCTAACGAATTTGACAATGTTGTCTTACATCAACCAGTCAACCCAGATAGTGCTGAATACAATTTTTCCAATTACAAATATTTTCCGAAATATATATAATGCAATACTACATTAGTAAGTGATGGAGTGATAGTAATCTATACAGTATTAACTTGGTTGTTGAACATAATTTGTTCAGTACAGATGCTTTTTTGCCATAAGAAACAATGGTAATTATTTAAATTCTATTTTACGCATTCCAAAATATTAACAAAATGTGTACCTAAACAACAATAAATATTTAAATATGTACATAATAAAGATAAAAATCTTTAATGACCAAGGAGCACGGTTCGGTTGACGTCATCTCACTTGGCAGCAAGCTCATGTGTTCGAGTACCGAATTTTCGTTTAAGCGACGCAGCATTTTAACTAAAATTTTTTGGTCGACTACCAAATTGTTTGACTATCAGGTCATCGACTACCGATGTATCACTGTGTTAATAAGGGTGACACTGTGTGCATAAGAAACATTAATCACTTTTGATATCTGATTTACTCAATATTTTATGATATTACTGGGATTAAAATACATATTCAGAATTTGTGCAATCCAATTGCTCAAAACGACTCATTGTAACTGCTATAATGTGCGTTTGCAGTTGCAACTGAAACAAATTTTTTGATACGAATGTTGCAGCAAAACTGACATTATGTTTTAATGACATTATTTAAGTTAAATTGATGAGTTGAGTACCTCATTCTCATAAAATTTGGAATATTATATTTTCAAAAGCCATACTGTCTAAAACAAATCTTCTCAATTGTCGAACAAAACAAAACCTCATATGTGACTCTTTAACATTATAATAAATAAGGGTATATTAATAAAATCAATGTTTATCGGCAAAAAATATTGAATAGTCAATTTTTAAAAAATGTATCAAGATTTGTGTGTAGTTCTTTATTGGACATGACCTATTTTATATTCAAAAATATTATTTCAGAGTGGATTTAAAATAGTACATAATTCAGTTTTGTTCATCCCAGCTCAAGAAATAATTACTTGACAGAACTAACAAATTTCTCATTCTGAAAGAAAGCAGAAATTATCTAATGCTTCCATGTTGTAAATGTACTTTGTCTCCTAATGATTAAAAGTACTAAGCTCTGTCAATCCCATTGTCAATTGTGTAAGTATATGAATGAGGTGATTAATGTGCCAACTTGGCATTCATTGATTCCGGCTCGATTCCATTCAACTTTGATAATATTTCAAGATATGAAAAGTTAAAACATAATATATGTTATAAAATATAACATATTAATGTTTTTTCTGGTCAAGGACTGAGAACATATTTTTGATCTACCAGATTTAAGTATTTTATGTTAGATATATAGCAGTTGCCATTCCCTTGTGCAGTTGTGTGAACCAAGTGAAGAACCATTCTGTTCGAACATCAATATCTTGCAAACGTAATGTAGAAATTAATTTAAACATCTCCCAATCCTAGTTATTTTATGGACAAAATTTATCATGAGTTCTTGTTACAGTTTCTACATATTAAATCTTAGATAATTTAGATACAATGGCTGCTATTCGGAAGAAACTTGTCATTGTTGGTGATGGTGCTTGTGGTAAAACTTGTCTTTTGATTGTATTTAGTAAAGATCAATTCCCAGAAGTTTATGTACCAACTGTATTTGAGAACTATGTCGCTGATATAGAGGTTGATGGTAAAACAGTAAGTTTGATTTGTTATTCATAGGCTTAGTGGTTTACCAAAAAATGTTGATTTGTCAGCTCTGAAATATTAGTTCCAATGTTCGGTTATTTAGCCCCCAAGTATCGAGAGATAACAATATATCTCAACCAACCGGTCTTTCTGTAAGACATCGACATTAGTGTTAGTGTCCAACCCATTGCATACCGAATTGGAACTAACGGTATATGCAACAGATCAATGTTCTATTACAGTCCTTTTACTTCATGGAAGCGACAATGAACTATTTTATTATTCTAATTTAAGCATTTTTTTTTAGAGCAAGAGTCAAGTTTGTTATCTATTTTCCTTCATTTGATTATTCTAAATAATTCTTTTAGTATTAGATATTGTTGAAGATTTCATTTAATTTTTTTAGGTTGAATTGGCATTGTGGGATACTGCTGGACAAGAAGATTACGATCGTTTGCGACCACTGTCCTATCCCGACACTGATGTTATATTAATGTGTTTTTCAATAGACAGCCCAGATTCGCTGGAAAACATTCCTGAGAAGTGGACACCTGAGGTATAAATTCAACTGCCATTCTTCAATGCCATAACTCGTTAGATATTGATTATTTGTGCCAAATTTCATTCAGAATTAAATTTTTATTACAATGGCGAATTAGGTTTTGTTGAAATTGGAATAAAGTTATGGAACGATTTAATCTTTTTATTATTAAAACTGGTCCTAATATTTGTCCACATGAAACTATAAAACTGATATTATGAACCATGGGAAATGATTTAAAATTTATTGGTGCAGCAAACTCATCCAATTAAGTGATTAATCAAACAGCTTGTCTGACATTTCCTCAAAACTATTTTGGGGAATATATGATGTAAAAGATGATTTTGGGATTAAAAATGGTATTTCACTATTCAAAATAGCAACGTAATAGCATGATAGGTTTAGTTAATCATTTCTCTTTTGTCAGTGGGTATCTTTTGTTCATGAGACAATATTAAATTTAAACAAATATGTAAAATTGGGTGGGGATCTGTTGACTGGGTCAAGACTGTTAATTTTCTCATATTTTTGACAATTTGTTAGTCGTAGTATTTAGAGATTTTTTTATCTTCAATATGTCACTGTAAATAAATTATTAGTCATGAAATATATGTTTGATCGAACTATTGCTTCATATCAAGGTAATACATTGTGTAAAGACAATACCTAACTTGCAGGAAATAGTGTTCTGTAGCCTGTTATGAAACGGAAATTATGCTTAGGCTATTTTGCTCGCACATAGGGATATATAGAATATAATGGGCTTTATCCAATATTATTTACAGTTATACTAGATTGTCTACTATACAATTAACAATCCACATATATGTACAGTGTGTCCTTAGAGATATTCAAATATGATTGTGGTATTATTTATAACATGAAAAAATGCCCTTATTCAAGTCTAATATTTATTTGGGAGGTTGTTTCTTTTCCCTTGTTAGATTTTTGAAAAATTTGAGTTACATAACATAATTATTTCAATCAATATCTTTGACTGTTTGATGCTAATAGGTTGAATAGATTAAGAATCTTAGGGATTATTTTATGGCCCTGGCATGAGTTAATTCCAATTTTTCAATAACATTGCTTGTTTAATTACTTGGTAAAAAATTTTGGCAACAAATATTCTTTCTATGCAATGAAAAAAGTCCTTTTTTGAAATTTGTTATCAAAACTTCTAAGAGCTACTTAACTACGAGCTGTTGAATCATTTAGTCACTAACCACTTCCTATGCCCAGTACGAAATTAATCTAGCAGACTTGCACCAAACCATATTGTTCTGCCTGTACTTACATACCATACCAGACTTTGGGGCCAGATAGAAAAGGCTGCAGTGCTATTATTGTAGCTTCGCTGTATTATCGTTTATATAATTAATAAACTGTATGTTTTTTTATTTCTAACATTTTGATTTGATAAATCTTAAAAATAAATTTTCACGCATTGACCTCTTTTATAATTTGTACGTTTTGCTAATATTAGGTGAAACACTTCTGTCCTAATGTTCCAATCATTCTGGTTGGAAACAAGAAAGATTTGCGCTCTGATTCTTCGACGATACATGAACTTCAAAAAATGAAACAAGAACCAGTGAAATCTGATGAAGGACGATCAATGGCAGAGAAAATTGGAGCTTTTGCGTAAGATTATTAAGCTATTATACATTATAACATTTCAGATGTGAATTCCACAAAGTAATAATTAGTACAATCATAAATACAGCTATATCTAATAAATTTTGGTCAAAAGACAACTCATTTGGCATTTATTTTGACTGTAACCATAACATTCCCTTTTTTCAAAATAATATAAATTATCTATTTACGGTAATTTCAAAATGGCAATATATCCTGAGATGGGCATGTATATCCAAATCACATAATATTTTTTCGTTGGATCGTAAAGCATAAATATGATATGTTATTGTCTGAATAAGCTTTAGAGTAATAATATTCTACATCAATATATATTTGAACTGTTTCAACATTTGGAGATATCCAGGGATGGATTGAATATTCTGGTATCAATGAAATTGAAACTGGTTTTCACTGGGTAATATTTTTCAAAATCCACTGTCTGTAACGAGGTGTTATATCAACCCCTGAATTAGAATTGTTCATATGATAATGTATAAGGTTTGAGAGAAAAAAATTCAATATGCAGTAGGTACAGATAGAAATTAATCCAGCAAGTCCCTTGTAAACATGGTCAATCTATTTTCACTGATTTAGTTACTTGGAATGCTCATCTAAAACCAAGGATGGGGTGAGAGAGGTTTTTGAGACAGCGACTCGAGCTGCACTTCAAACAAGGAAGCATAAGAAGAAAAGTGGTTGCGATGTTCTATAAGTGCGATGATCTTGTTGTTCAAAAACTGACCAATCACGTTTCAAGTTTATTAGTCTGCAGAAAAAATCTGGTGTATGTTTTGTGTGTATGTGTGTGTCTCATGTGTGCTCTACAACTTTAAACTAGATTAGCTACTAGTGCATCTGACACACACTGATATTGTGCTAGAGAAGATCTCGTGGCAAGTTTTCATCGCCTTGTTTATTGTAGTGACGCTGGTTTTTTCAAGCATTTTTAGTTGTATTTATGCGAATAATAGTTGGTAGAAAATGCATTTTATTTGAATATGAATGCCTAACCAATCTTTCAAGTTTCTATTTTTTTCTCATGTGCTTTGCATTTGATTAGTTATGATGATACCTTAATAGGCCTTAGCTCATTCGGAAATTGATTCTTTTTCAATAATTGAATGTTTATTATTTGATTCTTCTATGGGTCCCACAGGGTATATGCAGCAATGACCAAAATTTAAAAAATTTGTTAAAATCTGAAATTTTCAACGATCAGGATTGTTCAAAACTTTTGATAAAATTGAATAGGGAAATCAGAGTATTTTCAAGTCTTCAATCTTGCGATTTTCACACGTCGATTTGATTATTAATTTCTGTTTGTGGGACCAATTTTAACAAAAATCGACAATTTTTATTTAAAATTATGTATAATAAATTTGATTTGTTTCTTGACAAGCTGCGAAGTATGCCACACCCTGATTAAATGAGTCAGTGGTTGATCTACAGTCTGCTGATCCAACAAGCTGAATTTACCCTTAATTATATAACCGGTACTGTGATGGCTTGCAAATTGATATTTTCTGTTGGGTCGGTCATCTCTCGAATTTATATTGCACCATGCATAGAGTCGCGAATGATTTTAATTGACGATTGGACATTAGTCAGCTCTGATGATTTAATAAGTAGAACTATATTCATTTGTAGTTGACTTCGGTTTCTGGCACTCATTATTATTCATTTTAATAAATATTACCTTTCGGCCACATTCAGTCCATAAATCTTCTTACAAAAACTATTCTGTATATTGATTTGATAGGTCTCGATCACATAAGAGTAGCTGTTAATTTTTACCCAGATAATGTGGAAAAATCTGGTTTAAATCAATTGATGGGCTTTATGTGATTGCATTTGCTGACATAGTATTCCGACCGTCTGAAATGGCCGTATCAATTTCGTTTGAGCCATAGCCAATTGTTTTAAATTTTCCTTCAAAAACAGTAGATATGCACGGCATTAGTGAGTTTTATACATATTATTTCACCACAGAAATTTATATTGTTTTCATCTACGATATGGATTAAAAATGATTGATAATCAAATAGCTTTGTGTATTAGTATATACTATATAATAATAAATTTCTTGTGTGCTAGCTAGAATTGGAACCTTGTTTATAATGATTGATTGAATCACCGGACACTTAATAGCACAACCTGATTTTTGTGTCCTGGATTTATTAATAACCTCTGTATCAATTGTTATTGTGAAATTGCCCGAAACTAGGCCTGAATTTTTTTTAAATAAACTAATGTTGTGTATTAATTGTGACTTTATTTTGCTGGTTCGTGTAGGCCAGGGGTGGACAACCTGCTTTCGACTAAAAACTTCAAAATAGCTCGCGATCAACTGATCTGTAACAAGGTCAAGAACTATAATGAGCGAATACTTAATACGCAGATAACTGCACACACACACGCGTACAAAAGTTTCACCACTGCCAGTAAGCTCGGCTCTGCGGCTGCATGCTCAATGAAATTGCCACAAAAATTTGCGTTTTTTATATTCAATTTGATTATGTAATTGTACCCGGAGTAAATGTTTCATCATTTGTGGATTTTTTTTAATTCTGAAAAATTACACACTGGTGGAAAAGGGGAGACGTAATAGATTCGATTTTATCGTGGCAAAACAGTAGCAGCACGGTTTTACATGGCCGTATGTATTTCCAAACATAGCGTATAAATGTAACGTATTTTAAAGAGAATGCTTTCGAGAATCGCTTCTTGGAAAAGTTTATTTTCCTCGAGATGACGTTGACATTGATCGATTTAGATAAAACACAAAACCAATTCAAAATATTTTGCGTCTGAATTGTTGAAATATCGAAGGATATGCGCTGTGTTCGATAATACGTGCTGCTACTGTTCTACTATGATGAAATGGAGTCTATGAAGGTTTTTCTTCCAATGTGTCATAGTACTCCCCTTATAAGACGTTTTCGAGATATAGCCATTCCAAAAACGATATATATACTGAAAATTTTGAAAAGAGTACGGGAAGGCGTGAAATTTTTTTTGTTACTTCAAAGTAAGCTATCCACAACTTATTCCAACTTTGAAACCGTGCTGCTACTGTTCTGCTATGAAGAAATGGATATAGAAGGGTTCTCCTCTTCTCCCAGTGTGTCTTAATGTTGCCTTTATTTGAAATTTCTAAGAAATCGCTGTTTGAGAAAGACCTATTTTTACTATCGAAAATTTTTGAAAGAATCCGTAAGAAGGCGTAAATTATTCTACTATTACATTGTAATTTACGCAAATTACAACAACTTGTTAGACGTAGAACACGGAATTTAGACAGAAGTTTTAGAAAATATTTACTCGAGTGTTTAGTAAATTTGAATTGAACCACAGAACCCCATTGGAATAATTTATAAGTATAAGTATATACGCTGTGTTTGGGCTTATATACAGTCATATCAAACCGAGCTGCTACTGTTCTGCTATGATGAAATGGAATCTAGAAGGGTTCTCTTTTTTTTAATATTTCGTAATGTTGGCTTCATTGTAGGTTTTCAAGAAATCGACCAACCAAAACTGTAATTATTCAAAATAAAATCCACGAGAAGCCGTATATATAATGTTTATAGTTATTTTATACCATTCCTAACTTATTCCAAGTGTATTAGATGTTCCGTATCGGTGTATGAGACGGTAAAAAAAGGTAATTGTTCAATTATTTATTAAATTTATTCGAAATACAAAACCACTTTTACCTATGATAAATATATATTTTTCATGAAATTATCGGAATATACACTATGTTTTTAGTATTATATATGATGGCCAGTTAAAACGTGCTACTATTAATTCTGCCATGATGAATTCGAATCTACAAGATTTCTTTTTTTCTCCCAATATGTTGTAATGCTGGCTTTATAGTAGGTTTTCGAAAAATCGCTCATTCGAAACTGTAATTTTTCTACATTTCTAAAGAATTTACGAGGTGGCGTAAAATGTTTTTTATTTTTTTTTATTTTATACTCTCCGATACTTGTTTTGAATGTATTAGACGTTCAGTATCAAAGTGAAAAGATACTTGTTCAATTTTTCAGTAAATTTAGTTACATAATTTATTTAAACTATGATACATGTATATTTTTCACTAAATTATTTGAATATGCGCTATGTTTGGCATTATATATGACCATGTTGAACCATGCTGCTGTTCTGTCATCATAATGAAATCGAATCTATAGAGTTTCCCTTTTTCTTTAAATATGTCGTAATGTTGGCTTTATTAGAGGTCGTCAAGAAATATATGCCTAAAAACGAGTCATTAGATCAACTGTAATCAACCATTCTCATAATTCTTGTTTTACAGTTTATTTATTGCTACTGTTGCTTGTCTATGCGAACTACAGGGTAGTCGCTATAGAAGCAGAAAATTTATCAAACATTTAATTTTTACAAAAAATGACTTTAATGAAATTATTAAACGCATATGCTATATTACATTCATGGATGCTGAAAATGTCGTCTGTGCAGAGCAGTATCTTAGTCCAAGAAATTAGTAAGAATGCATTTTATCTCTGATCTCATTCGAGCTTCCAAATTTCTGCTTTTCTAGCGACCACCCTGTATATTTCAAATGTGGCATCCAATGTTATCCAGCGAATCTAGAATTTAACAGACTAATTTAAAAGGTTCCACCGAATAGCACATAGCCGTATAATTATCATTTCATATTTACATAAACATTTAAAAGATTCTCCGTAACATTTCGAGTGCAATCTTCTGATTGGACCCATTTCTTTCAAATACTTTTTCTCATTTCGACTTTGTACATTCTTAGATGCATCAGATGGAATATATATGGGTGGCACTAAGGCAGGGTCGTCCAACCCATGGCCTGCGGGTCACATGTGACCCGCCGAAGGTTTCCGAGTGGCCCGCGCAATATTATTCGGATCCCAACGTTTTTCAAAAATCTGAGCCATTATTGAAACTTCTAATAAAAAGTTATTCCTCGTCGTTTAAACGCGCGGGAAGCACAACCCAGCTATCGAAAGCTTTTTTATGTCCCTTTGTGGGCGTAATTGCTGGAGAGAGATGTTTGAATTTATTTTTATCGTCTGCCATGTATTTCAATCTGATTTCCTGTCTTTTCATGCAAAGCTAGAAGAGGCAGTTTTCATGACCTCAATATTTGACAGCACTTACTTGTGCGAGCAAGTTTTTTCACAGATGAACCATGTCAAATCCCCTTGAGATCACTAATTTCGCTAATGAACAATTCGCTCTGCATTGCTATCTCGTCCATCGCACCGAATATTGACAAACTTATTGGATAAAAGCGGTGTCATACTTGACATTGAAATATATATGCGTAGTAAAAACTGTTGACTTTACTGTATCTTCGTATTTTCATTGTGCTCATAATTTTGGTTTGCGGGTTTTGTTTGTTTTTCATTAATCTGCAGTCGGCGTAGTAAAAACTATAACATAACCACCATGTCAAGTGGCCCGCGCGATCATTCGTGAACTAAATGTGGCCCTTCGGCCAAGAAGGTTAGACCACCCTGCACTAAAGAATGCGTTTCACTTACTTCTGAATAGCGTCGGTCCCTAACTAAAAGAATGAAAAACCAGTGTAAATTACATTCTAACATGGGTATTCTTCCTGATATTTTACATGATGCTTGTAGACCTTATTCATACGAAAACATTTAAGCTCAATTTTGATATGATTGCTTTTTTATACCTACTTTGATGCTCCGAACTTTAGCACTCGAACAACTTGACTATTGCAGTGACGTTGTAATGCCCGTATATAGACGTTACTTTGAGTCATTCACCATTTACATGTTTTAAGTAACCAATGCCATACACCCACATGAAAACTTCCTCCTATTATTTTAGTCATCAATTAAAAATGTCAAATTCGTTAATATCAAAATTGATCAAGCAAGTAATTTGTCTGAATTTATATATAGGTATATTTAATTAATGCTTATATCATCCCAACCGCTTGCCAACTAAATTATTATTCCATTGAAAGTTATTGATGGTTTCGGACAAACCTACAATATCACATCCTAGATGTCTCATCACATCCCTTGTCTTTCACGTTATAAATATTGGGTGGTACTGGTAATTCAATTTTTGGGGAGCACGTATTTGGAGCTTTTCAGTTTGTGAAAATCAGGGGGTGGCAACATTTAGCTAATTGTTGGCCAAAAATCGAATCTACAACGCGGACAGAAATGATTTTCCTCAGAGAAACCATTTCCATTTGGCATTGATAGAATGTTGCTACTCGACATATCGTCTCAATTATATTTGGACACGTTTAGTCGACATAACGATCATTTTGTTGTTCTTGTTCTTCTTTGACACTTTTCGGACACCTAGTGGAAAATCTAAAAAATCGCTTTTCTCTTTGATTGCTGGACCAATTGCTTTGAAATTTTTAGTGGTTAAACATGATATTTTTCTCCATAAAGCTATTACTTTTATTCTGTTAGCTCTGTGAGATTTGTTTTTGTTTGCTATGACGTCACTGAACGTTCTGCGGACATCGCACGCCATTTTGTGTCCGACTGCAATGCTTCGCTTGGTGTGAATATATTTGTAGACTGTGATCTGACGGTACGGTAAACCGTACTGTACTGCGAACAGACGTGTCCATATATCTAAAATGATTATTCTTCTTTTCCATTTTTGGTGAATTTCTAAGTGCGCAACAGCAAGAAGGACTCCTAGATATCCGTAATGATATTAATTCTGAGAAAACCTTGGAAAAAAATTGGAAGGAATATTTTTGGATTTCTCTTCACAAAGAGGGTACAGCAATTGCAAAAATGCATTAAAACTTCTGTGTCAATTTCCCAATACCTATTTGTGTAAATCAGCAATTTCTGCTTTAACAACTATTATTAACAAAAAAGAAGTTGTTTAAAGAGTGTAGACATGAGTAATGAGAATTGCTTTGAGCACCGTGGAGCCACGATTCAAGAAGAGAGCTTTTAGCTTGTGTACGCTTTTATTCAACCTATATAGTGCATCTTAGCCATGTTACATATTTCAGATCGTGTTTATGCAAACTGACTGAACGTAAACAAGCTGCGAATGTTAACATCGGAAACTGCTTGAGCGGAACAAAAACTACGGTTAAACAAATATTTATTAAATTATGGATTACAGTTAGGCCATAATATATTACCAGATTGAATTGAGAGTATATTTGTGTTGAATCAAAGACCCCTGGGAAAATATGCCTGTGCAATGATTTTTGACCATTTCATAAATAAGATCTACAAC